TATCCACCTGCAAAAAAATGAAACTAGACCCCTCTCTCTCACTGTTAACATCACCTCAAAATAGAGCAAAGATCTAAATATAAAACTTCAAATGATAAAACTACTGTTGGAAAACACAGGGAAAACTCTTGGAGACACCAGAGTAGGCAAATACTTCTTAAATAATACCCCTCCCCCTCCAAGCACAGGCAATAATCCCCAAAACAGATAAGTGGGATTATGTCAGTTAAAAAGCTTCTGCAAGCAAAAGAAACAATAATTAGAGTGAATCAACAACCCTCAGAATGAAAGAATATATTTGCAAATTTTTCCTCAGATAAGGCACTAGTAACCAAAAAATCCAGGGAACTTAGGCAGTTTATCTGAAAAACAAAAATCAATCAAATTAAAAGATGAGCAAATGAGCTGAACAGACAATGCTCCAGGAAGACATACAAACAGTCAAAAAGCATATTAAAAAATACCTAGCATCCCTTATTATAAGGGAGATACAAATCAAAACTACAATGTGATACTACCTAAGCCCAACCAGAATGGCTAAGATTAAAAAAATAAAGAACGATAATGCTGGCGGAACTGTAGTGAAAAGTTACACACTGTTACTGGGATTGTAAATTAGTATAGTCACTGTGGAGGACAATATGGAAGTTCCTCAGAGACCTATAAGTAGAACTACCGTACATTCAATAATTCCACTCCTGGGTATCTACCCAAAGGATAGGAATACACTCAGTCAGAAAAACACCTGCACACCCATAATATTTGCAGCATTATTTACAATTGCTAAGACACGGAATCAACCCAAATGTCCAAGAACAGATGAATGGATTGAAAAAGTATGGCACACATACACTATGGAAAGCTACTTAACTATAAAAAAAAAAAAGAAAGAAATCCTAACATTTTATAGAAAGTGGACAAATATGGAAGACTTAGTGTAAAGTGAAGCAAGCTAGACTATGAAATAGAGGCATTGTATGTCTCCACTTAATATATACCAAATGTATGCACTCCATGGCAGAAACTGAAAGACTGGAAGCTATAAAACTATGGAAAGCAACTGTGGATGCCAGAGACAGTATGATAGGAGAGTGAAAAATGGGGCAGGGTTAAGGGGGAGATAATCAGGGAAAAAAATAAAAGCAAAACATTCAACGGACAAAAAAAGAAACTTTTTTTGGATGACAATGTGTACGGTAATTTCTTCGACTGGACTAACATATAGAATTTTCGTGCTGGGAAAATTCATTTTCAATGTAAAGATATACAATTAATAGAAGAAAAAAAAATAAAGCTCCTAAAATTGTAGGACATGGAGATGTTAAAATTTAACCCAAGAACCTAGAGGCAAAAATGATGGTAGAAAAAGAAAAATGATGGTATAGGACCTGCACCCAGATTTGCTAGTAGAGAGACTGGACATCCACTCCCCTATCACCTGAACCCTCCTGGAAGTATGGCTGAGGAAGGGGGAAGAGTGTGGTGTCCGACTGTGCTTAACTAAAACTTGGTTCTTTCCTAGACTTTTTCTCTTATTTTCATCCTATTTCTCCTCAGAGGACTCTGGACAGACATTTGTTTCAGGGCTAGTAAGATTCCAACTTGCTTCATAAGAACTATCTCTGTAGGGCTGTCCTTGGAAGAAAAAAGATACTGATAAGCAGGTTCAGAATCGAGGAGAATGAAGTGGGAAGACGAAGGTAGCTCATGCTTCTGGCAGGCCTCCTATGTGTCAGGCACTCTCATAAACCCTGTTCATGAAGTTTTATAAGCTAACCCTCTTACCTATTACCCTATGAGACAGGAACATTTACCGGCCTCCTTTTCCAGCAGAAGAAATTGTTGATCAAGCAGTGAAGCATGATTTTTCCCAAGGTGGTTATGAGTATGGGGCTGAATCAGGATTCACACCCAGCTTAGCCTGTTCACAAAACCTACAGCATTTCCACTGCCACACGTGGTCTTTTGGTTCAAACGAAAGAAAACAGATTTTGGTAAGGAACGAGCAAGCAGAAAATGAGAAACCCCAAGAACTGACACTGGAACTATTTAAAAACTCGAGACCATGTTGGTCAGACTTCATGGGAGGAGAGCCGCCAGCGGAATAAGAAACTGTTCCAAACAACACCCTGGCTCACTGTCAGAGCAGCCCAGATCCCAGGGCCATTATTAATAAAAATAAATTTCAAAAGTGAAATAGAGAAATGTTCAAAATTAGGGATGACAAGCTCTTGACAAGCTCATTCTCAAGCGAGAGAAAGAAAGAATGTTCCTTTAAGAGGTAAAGAGGAGAGGTGGTGTCAGGTACAAGGAAAAGGAGGGGCAGGAGAAAGTGCTCATCACTTTTAAAGGATGGCAACTGATGTCAGCTCTCAGTGTTAATTGCTTTTGGGGTTCCATAAAACATTTCATTGTTCTCTGTATAATGGGGGTGTAGGATTTCAGCCCAGCTCATGCCAGGTCCCTACAATGCCACCTAGAGATAGCATTATTCCTTCTGTTTTAGTGGATAGGAATGACTACATAGGGCTCTGTCCCTCCCTGCTAGATACTATCTCTCCAACTATTGGAAGACACATAGGGAGAAAGCTGGAATTAATATTTATCACAACAAGGGCAACAACAGAAACAGTGACAACAGCTAACACTTCTTGCCCCTACTGGGATCTCATCAGCAAGCAGAGAACTTTTGTACATTATCTCATCAAGTCCTCCTGGGCTCCCAGTGATCCAGACACTGTACAATCCACATACTCACAAAGGAGGAAATGGAGGATTACAGGATTAAGAAGCTCACCCAATACCACATAGCTGATAAAGGGCAAGGCAGGGCAGGGTAGGGACTTGAATCCAGGTCTGTCTGCCTCTGGTTTATGCCCTTAATGAGAAATAAAGAAACCAGAAGCCATCCTTCAAGGAATGTTTCAATAATGCCAACTTCTTCATACAATCATAGGTTTTAGAGTTTGAGGGGGTGTGTAGCTCTTAGTCTAGTCTCCTACTTGTATCTTATTGATGCAGTGACTTCGGAGCTCAAAGGTTTAGTGCCAGCACTAACTAATTAGGCTGTAGAGTGATGCTCTCAAAGTCTGCATCCCAGCCCCACCACTCACTATCAAGACTTTCTTCAAGGCCTGAAGCACATCCTCTCTCCTCTTCCTCTGAGAAGTTTGCCTAGCTGCTCCATTGGAAGATAGTCTATTATACTTCCATTTCTAGAGCATTCACTGCTTCCTAGTTGTTTAAGATACAGCTTGAGCCTCAACATCTCAGAGACATTCAGTGACAAAGGCAGGCTCAGAGGACCCATTCTCAGCTTAAAATGATATTCCTAAATTTGGCACATAAATGTACTAGGAGATACCAAAGATCTTGAACATGTATTCAAAATGGCACCAAGGTCTTTAGAAAAGTCAAGGTCTTCAGATAGATAAGGTGGGATGTGCTTTAGAGGTAAGAGAGGTTCACAGATCATGGGGAAACCAATATTTGTACTTATTGAGCATGTAGTTGGAGATACTATGTTCAATATTTCTTGTTTAATTCTCACACAAATCTCCAAGTTGGGTTTATTTCTGTTGTACAAAGACTGAAATTGAAGTTTACGGAGATAAAGCCACTTATCTAATGTCATTTAACTATAAATGTCAAAGCCAGATTTGAATCCACAGTCTGTAGACTTTTAAACATCATTAAGTTACAAGTTATCTGAGGATAGGATCTCTGTGTCATATTCATACTTCTAATTGTCATCATGACACCAAAACATAGAACATCCTCAGAAAATGTCTTATGAATAAGCAAGTGAGTTATGAAAGAGTAAATAAAACTGTGAACAAATAGCACAACTGATAATGATTAAGTTAATAAAATGGAGTATAAGAGTGAATGAATAAATAGATGAGTTAATTGGATGAATGAATGGGTAGATGGATGGAGAAAGGAAGGAAGAGACAGAGAAGGGAATGCAGGATAGAAGAATGGGTAGATAGATTAATAAATGGATGAGTGAAAAAAAAGGAATGAGTTGAATAATGGTAACTAAAGCTCAACTTTTTTCTTTAGCTTTTGCCATAAGGTGCATGTACTCACTAGAGAGAGAGAGAAAGTGACAAATTACACTCTCTGGGGGGATGGCTACACTGCAACCCCTTTTCCTTCATTCATATCCTTGGATTTGGGGCATGCATGCACACACAACCAACATGTTTTTCAAGCTACTGGATTCAGGACTTGAACCACTTAGTCAGTTATGTGGGATCCAGCTGCCTTAATTCTGTGTCACCTCCTAGCCCCAAAGCTCAATTTCTTAACAACTGTAGTTTTTTAGACTGATGAATAATGGAGCCTACGTTTTCAGAATTGAAGTACATAGGGAAAGTTGTTTTCTAGAGTGCAATAATACCGTGTATAATAGTCACATCCAGGTGTAGCAAGACTCACTGAGGAGGGAAACAAATTAAAAAAATGAGTTCTTCTTATATTTTGTATGAATCTCAGAGAAACTTTCCCTTGCATCTCCAAAAGTTTGAATGCAATGACTCCAATGTACTCTACAAAGGAGTCACAATGACACTATTTCTAAGAGACTGGCTTCTTCTTTTAATAAAATATTATATACTAATCTAATGTTTCGAAGAGGAGACATCCTGGAAAAGAGAAACGAACACTAGGCAGAGATTCCTGTTCAAGCCTTCCTTAATGACTTGTGTAGGAACTTGAATATGTTACTTTCCTTCTCTAGATTCTTCATCAGTAGGAGAAATAGTTTTAAATTTTCAGCTCCCTAGAGCCTTCAGCACTTAGCTTGTGTAATTCTGATTCACTATGGCCATGCTTCCCAAATGGACACCTGTAAACTATAGGATTTCAAGCTGCAAATACAGGCTGGCCAGCAACATATTTGGCTAGTCTACACTAAAAAAAAACTCATGCCTTCCCTCCCAGGCTTAAAACCATCGTGATTGCTTCATGCTCTCCACACATCCAACATGTCTTACTTGTAGAGACCATCAGGCTCCAGACACTTGAAGATGACTGAGTAGATACTGACTTCAGGGACCTCTCCATGGCTTCGACCAGCTGCTACACAAGATGTGCCCAGGCCAGAGAGCAAGTCATCAGCAAAACTCAGGAATTCTCCTGGAGGGAGGTGGGCAGAAAAAGCACAGATCTAAAAATGATGCAAATTAGTATCTAGCTCTCATGACTCTTTGTTCAAATTTATGACAATTATTTTCACCTGTAAAAATGAGGCTGTTAATACCTACCTTTATAAGTAGCAAGGCTCAAATAAGGTAAATTATCATTAATAAAAATACACAGAAAAGCAACAGGGGGGATTGTGTTTTCTTTCTGTCCAGAGTAACTACTTCTACCTTGGCAATGCCCGTGACTCCTCTTAACTCCTTGAGCAAGGCCCTTCAGTCTTGGGACTGCATTTCCTTCTGTGTATAATGAAGGATGTAAGATACATTTCGGTCCTGGACCTGGCGGCTTGCTTTCTCTCTTGCTCACTCTGTCTCTCTTTCACTCTGTCCCTCTCTGGTCAAATTAAAATAAATAAATTAATTAAGTAAAATACTTAAAAATATGTTCCAAGGCCATTCTTATGCACTGAAACAGGATTCATGGAGTTTCATGTTGAAATGAGTAGAGAGATAGTCTAACTAAGAGGAAAAGGTATCTGTGATTGATTAGAGCAAAAAGTGATAGGTCCGAAACAAGACGGTATAAAAACAATTGCCACATATTAGTGATGCCTGAACTCTGTGATTCCTAAAAGTCAGTCTAGCCATCTGACTTTTAGGAAGGAGCATAAGTTTACTATGTAGAGAACTAATAAATAAGATGAGGAAGAGTAACTGAATAGCTAAAATCAGGATCTAATCTTAGCTCTGCTGAAAATTTGCTAGATAGTTTTAGGCAACTAAATTTCTCCCTTTGTGCCCTAGTTTCCCTCTCTGTAAGGTGGAGGTACTAGGATCACTATTAGGATTCTTGAAAAATTGGAATTAAAACATAGGACCAGCATGGCAGTGCGGCAGTAGCACACTGCTCTCTAAAGCTGTGTCCATGATCAATACTTTGGTTCTTGGGTAGACGGTACAAGCCAGCGTACTCACACAGGCCTGTGATCCTGGCTGGTTGGGAAGGCTGGAGAGAGGGTTATGGACAAGGCCTTGTTGAGTGTTCCTGTCCTTTTTTCTCTCTCTCTTTATCTCTTTGCATATTGTTTTCACAAAATATATAAATAAACCTTAAAAAAAAGCCCAAAAGTGTAGATGTGAACAAAATTTAAGTTAAAGGGATAACACTATATAGTACTATTTATACCGGCCAGGATTTAGAAACAACTAAATGTTCAGTAGTACAGAAATGGCCATATGAATTGTAATTCAACAGGGTCTATTATCACCATTAAAATTAATCTGTGAAAAATATAAGCTTATATGAAAGGATATAGATGACATCAAGTTAAAAAGCAGGTTATACTATCAGAGAGTAACTCAGTTCTCTGTGGAAATTTTATGTATTTGAAAAAAAAATTATTTATTTACTTATTTGTTGTTATTACTATTATTATTTTGAATTTGACCAGAGAGATACAGAAAGAAATAGAAAGGGAAGGTGAGAAAGCAAGTTACTAGTTCTGGGACTTGGACTGTGGTTAATCGTGTGAGAATCCAGCGCCTCGATCATCACATCACCTGCCAGCCCCCATGTATATATATATACATATTTTAAAACAGAAGAAAAAAATTAGCAAAAGCTTAATAGTGGCTCTGGCTGGAGAGTGAGATAATGGGCACTTTTTCTATCGTGTTTTTGCCCATCTCTATTTTAAAAATTATTTTCAATGAACGTATACTGCTTTTGTAACAAAGGAAAAATCAATAAAAATAACTTAAAAATAGATTAAATAAATGAGCTGGACTAAGTGGCCTCTAAGTTTGTTTCCAATTCTAAAATTGGATGATGCTGAAGCAGAACTGGCTTGCGAAGTAATTCAGCCACACAGTGTAAAATGGCGTGAGGCCTCCCAACTGTTGCTACCTTGTTCCCCTTCGTGCCTACTGTGGAATCCTCTGGCTTTTCTATTTGCATATATTCCTAGTATTAAGCAAGCGAGGATGTGAGTTCAATTGTATCCTCTCCGGCTGGAATGAAGGACAAGTCAACGTAATGGAATATCGTGGGGCAGAAATGTTGGTCAAATGTTTGGGAAGACTGAGACTCGAAGAAGGCATGCAGTGCTTCTCTACTAGGGGACTGGTAGGTAGAATATACAGATCACTTCCTGTTGGTCTTTCAAAGGAAAGTTCCATTCTTAAAGAAGGACAGTTAAACAAATAAACAAAACCAAAACCTGTTTTATTCTTCATCCTGTAAGTGATTCTTGTAACATGCCTGATTGAATTGCCTGGATGGCCCCGGAACTCCATCAAACAGCAGTTCTTGTATTTGTCCCTACAGTCCAATATGGCAGACTGAATGGTTAGAGTTTTTTTGTTTTCCATTTTTTCACATGGTCTATAGGCTTGCCATGTAGACGCCAGAGCCAAGTATCTAAATCAGGTTAATGTCAACAAAGTGCATTTTCAGCTTCTATTACAAGACAGATCTGTGCTCAATTCCATTTCCACCTCTTGTTGCTAGTTCTTAAACCTCAAGGTTTTCATTTTCCTTTTTATTATAAGGGGTTAATAGCCCTTATATGACTTTGAAACCTAAAAAGTGAAGGCAAGAGTCTAGAAAGAAGCAAAGATGTCAACACCCAGAGTTTTGTTGCAAAGTAAAGAAACAAACCTTTTATTCATCATAAATTTTATCATCTCCCATTTCTTCTGTAGGCCTCTTATGTCAGTTTCTTCCATAGTACAGTCATAAACCAACAATATTTCCATTCCAATAGATGTCAAAACAGAGTAATGTATGAGGTAAAAAATTAAAAGAAGGAGAAGAAGCAGAAGAGGAAGAAGAAGAAGAGAAATGATTTGGGACTATTTTCTGGATGGTGTAAGGGTCTTGTTTCACTTGGTATTTTAGGATTCCAAGCTGGCTGCTTTTCTTTGTTTTCTTTGAACTTGGATCCATGTCTGTCTGCTTTTCAATTTGTGTCTAGATAGCCATTGAAAGAGTTGGCTCATCATGAGGGAATTCAGTATACTTGTGGCCTATATTAATTAACTGTCTTGAGGCCAAAAGATGACTGACATTCATTTACAAATGAGCATAGCTTTCTGGATAGCTCCATGAATTTCAGGATAACTTGGACCATAGATGAAAGCCCAATAAACATGACAGGTCAGCAAGGTCAGCACAGTTCTAAGTTCTCAACAGTTGTAAGGTTTATAAGTTTAGTTTAAGTAAAATAACCAGATAACTAGAAATATAACTAGTTATATTAAGGACATTATAAGAAAATTCACTGCCTAATTTTTGTTGTGGACTATATACATATGATCACCTTCAATGAAAAAAGTTAAAAAGAAAGGAACTGATGGTTAGTATATACTTTTCCTTTTTCTGTTTAATCCTGACAGCACTCTAACAAGTTAGATGTTATCATCCCCACAATAAAGCTGAGGATAAGACTGCCAAATTAGGAAGAAGAAACAAAGGTAAGACTAGAACCCCTACACATCTGACAATCATACTTTTTCGTTTATACTTTGCTGCCTCCTAGAGAAAGTTTTTAAATGAAAGTGTTAGAAAGTGAGCTTTCTCAACACTGTTCAATCTGCAACTGAATTCCCACCACTCTCAGCACTATGGGCTTAGAGAATGAGACAATAAAAGAAATGATCCTTGACCTTCTCTAGCTTGTAATCTGACAACAGGAAGAACTGTTAAATACCAGAACAGACCCATAAAGTAAATTGTAAGATTGCTTGTCTTGGCACTCTATTTCAGAAGGGTTATATGCTACCTAGAGAGAGACAGGTGAATAAAATGACTCCTTCTTCATCTGGTGGAGGCAGTTATCAAGACAGACATGGAGGCTTCTCTATGTGCAGATGCAAATCAGTGCAATCCAACACATGCATTGTGGTTCCACAATATACCACGCTCTGTCTCTGGCAGCAAGACAACTGAGTGAGCAATAATACAGGGCAGTGGTTCAGCAATAATACAGGGCAGTGGTTCAGAGCTTGGGGTCTGAATTTATGCTGCCTAGGATTAAATCCTGGTCTACTCCCACTCATTGCTTGCCTTGGACAAGTTCCTTAACTCTATACCTATTTTCTCATGTGCACCAAAGATAACAGTATCTACCTTAGAGTGTTGTGGCTATCATATAAAATATTATATACAAACTGATCGGTGAATACCTGGCACACAATGAGAGTTCAAAAAACCATATTAACTATTGCTACTGTTTCTGTTGGTCTTATTCTATTTTTATTTTTAGAAAGATTTTTGTGATAGGGTGTGTGCATTTGCCAAAGAGTCAGAGAGACAGAAAGCAAGAAATCACTCCCCGGGGAGGGGGGGGGAATGACCACACAGCTATCCCTTCTTCTTCCCCATTTTCTTCTTGGGGTTTTGGGCACGCATGCACACACACACGCCTGGTGTGAGTTTTAAGCTGCCAGGTCCAGGACTCAAACTGTGGTCAACTACTGGGAGTCCAGTGACGTAAGCACTGCGCCATCTGCTGGCCCCTTGTTGGTTTTATTCTACTTGCCAGAGGAACCCTCCCTCCTCAGTGTGTGCTTGCTTCATGTGACATAAACATGACATATATTACTAGGCATTTGCTCTGCACCAGGCACAATTCTATCCATCTTCTTAAATCTGGAATTTCTGAAAAAAATTCAGAGTCCAGAAAAACAGAAGTTTGGTAGGTTTCAGTATAACGTATATTCGAACAGTGGTTTTTAAGTTGGATTATAGCAGACTCCAAGGGTAAGGAACTACATGAATGACGCAGGGCTGGAATTAGTCTCCCCCATACTCACACTAACCTTCATGCAGATCAACTGCAGTTTGATCTGCTTTATATATGAAGGGTCCATGTTTTATTTAGCTTTAGAAAATGTTTATAAAAATTTGGTTTAAAAGTTTTATTGCTTAACATGTCCAAAAACCGTGCCACATTCCCTGATAAAAATGCAGAGGCTCAGGAATGTAGCACC